AACTATGCCATATATGGCTTAATCATACAACATCTCTTGATATATCGATAATGATATAAAGATAAACCTTTTTCACAATTATTACCCACAAATCCTTTAGGACAGTCACACTAAAACGTGGTAGGACAAGAAGTTTCACCATTGAGACAAGGATAACTATCACAATAAGATTAACGCAAGTCTCGTATAATTTTATAAAATTGTAAACGTTATTACAAAGCCATCGTTCTCGAATTCTTTGAAAACTCATTAGAAAACACAGTCCCTAGTGGAATTTCAAGACAATTATTCGTCATTTCCAATTATAATAATTATTACCAACCTATATCACATGTTTTACCCTTGAAACCTATAGGACAGTCACAGCTAAACATTCCTCCAGTTGTAGGACAACAAGTTCCACCATTATGACAAGGATGACTGTCACAAGGATTTATTGCTAATGGAAGATAAAGCAGAAAACTCTCATTAATACGAAGGTAAATCTCTTCTAGTTTTAGAAAATTGTAAACGTATTTAAAAAGCCATTGTTCTTGAGTTCTTTGCAAAATCATTAAAAACACAGTTCCTAGTGGAATTTGAAGAAAATTATTTCTAATTTTCAATGATTATAATAATTACAAACCTATATCACATGTTTTACCCTTGAAACCTCTAGGACAGTCACAGCTAAACTTCCCTCTAGTTGTTCCCGTTGTAGGACAACATGTTCCACCATTATGGCAAGGATGACTGTCACAAGGATTTAATTCTAATGGAAGATAAAGCACAAAACTCACATTAAGATCAAATTAAATCTATTATAATTTTAGAAAATTGTAAACGTTATTGAAAAGCCATTGTTCTCGAGTACTTTGCAATCTTATTAGAAAACACAGTCGTTATTAGAATTTCAAGAAAGTTATTTGTTATTTCCAATGATAATAATTATTACAAACCTATATCACATGTTTTACCCTTGAAACCTCTAGGACAGTCACATCTAAACTTCCCTCTAGCTGTTGGATAACAAGTTCCACCATTATGACAAGGATGTCTGTCACAAGGATTTATTACTAATGGAAGATAAAGCAAAAATCACATTAAGACCAAATTAAATCTCTTATAATTTTAGAAATTTGTAAACGTATTTTAAAAGCCATTGTTCTTGAGTTCTTTGCAAAATCATTAAAAACACAGTTCCTAGTGGGATTTGAAGAAATTTATTTGTAATTTCCAATGATAATAATTATTACAAACCTATATCACATGTTTTACCCTTGAAACCTCTAGGACAGTCACAGCTAAACTCCCTCTAG